CTGAGGAGCAAGGATATCTCCTTGAGGACTAAGGTGCGCCTGACACAAGCCATGATATTTCCAATCGCCTGGTATGCATGTGAGAGCTGGACAATGAAGGATGTCATGCTTGGTAGGGTGGAGGGTCGACGGAAGAGGGGGAGGCCTTCAGGGAGATGGATTGATACAGTGGCTGCGATGATGGGTTCGAGTATAGCAGGGATTGTGGGGCTGGCGCGGGATCAGGCAGTGTTTCGTTCTGCTGTGCATGGGGTCGCTATGAGTCGGAAACGAGTCGACGGCACTTAACAACAACAACAACACTTCCCTGATAAATCCCGTGATTGTGAGTATTGTCTGTCACTTCTTTGTGGCCACTGCAACGAATTATCAAGCCTAGCAGAGTGCCCTGGGAGGGACAGTTGGTGTCAGAATTGGTAAAAGGTTGGAGGGTGGCGGCATGTCTGGCTTTATAGGAATAAGCCTTGGGCTCCTGACGGTGACTGTCATCGTCTTGTGCATTAGAGGAGGTCAGAAGATACTGCCTGCATGCCATTTTTGCAAGGTCAAGAGAGACTTTTACTGTTAGCCAGGCCAGCACCCCTGCTCAGCAGGAAGCAGTTCCAGAAGACACTGCCATCCATTAACCCATAAAGAATTATGAGTGACTTACTTCTCTTAGAGAGGAATGAGACAGGATCGGTAAGAGACCCCCGGGGTCCAGAATTAACACCCAGCAGGCAAAAAGTCCCGTTTAAAAAAAAAAAACTCAAAATAGACTCCACACCCATCTGGAGTGACACAAATGAGTACCTACAAATATGCAAGCAGAGGACATGTAGCTTAAAGAAGATTTAACCAGCTATGTCTACAAATAGCTGGACAATGAATAAAGAAGCCTGAAGAGTTGATGCTTTTGAGTTGTGTTGGCAAAGAATACTGAAAGTACCACAGACTGCCAGAAGAACTAACAAATCTGTCCTGGAAGAACTACAGGAGAAATGCTCCTTGGGAAGCGAGAATGGCCAGACTTCATCTTACCTACTTTGACCATGTTGTCAGAAGAGACCATTCCCCGGAGAAGGATATCATGCTTGGTAAAGTGGAGGGTCAATGAAAGGGGAAGGCCCTCAATGACATGGATTGACACAGTGGCTGCAATGATGTGATCAGGTATAGCAAGATGGTCAGGGTGGTGTGGGACCAGGCAGTGTTTCGTTCTTTTGTACGTAGAATCACTGTGAGTTGGAATCGACTTGACAGCACCTAACAACAATCTGATTAAGCGATCTGTGCATGTGCAAGTGACTGGGTGTTGAACTTTGCTCAAGAACCTCTGGAGCCAAATATCCAACCCGAGGTTTCAAACTGGTGAACGTGGCAACTCTGCAGGTACAGCTTCCCAGAATAAACTTTGATGAACCTCCCAGACACCTTTGTGAGTGACACCATCTTATGACCTGACCTGTACACACACCTTATTAACATTAACCTTATCTATAGCCTCCCATTTCCTGGAAAAATTCTCCAAGAAAATCTGTGAGTATGCACAAGCTAATTATACTATTTGTAGTTGTTGTTAGGTGCCGTTCAGTCAGCTCCAACTCAAAGCGACCCTCAAGTTCTCACTGGCCAGTTCTTTGAGAAACGGATGGCCCCTTCCTTCTTCCCAGTCTGCCTTACTCTGGCAGCTCCACTGAAACCTGTCCACCATGGGGGACCCTGCTGGTACCTGAAATACCAGTGGCATAGCCTCAGCCTTACAGCAACACGCAAGCCACCACTGCAGTAGGACAGATGAGTCCTAAAAACCCTCTGCTTTGTGCCCTCGGGAGCAGTCTGTTGGTGGCTGCTAACCACGCTACTAAACCGATTTGAGGTGTACTGTCCAATAAAGACTAATGTTGTCGATCAGCCTAGTTTCCCCGAGTGGTTGTTCCCTCGTGAGTGAGACAAGAATTGTATTTCCTGGTATCAGGAGGAGCGGCTGCGAGAAGAAACCAGGTTGCTAATGTGCCCTCCTGTTTTTCTGCCGAAAAGGCCTTGTGATGTTGGTTTCTGAGGCCCCATGCTGAGGGTAGGCCCCGTTGGTTTCTAGGCTCTGAAGGCTGGGAGTACCAGACCCGACCATGAGGCTCGGGGACCGGGCAGCCCAGCACAGGAGGGCTAGAGGGTGTTTTTCTACTAAAGGAATTACTTGTTCCCAAAATCACGTGCATCCAGCTTTTGGGGTGGAGGGGTGGTCAGTATTTACAGAATCATTGACAGATTAGGATGTGGCAACCTCAACTTGATCCCCTAAATGTTGGGAAGAGTTTATCCTTGCATTCTCAAGGGTGGGAAATACTCGTACTCTTACTGGATGCTTAGGACACCCCCTGGGTAGGAGGTGGGGAACAGCGGCCTGTCCTGAAGCCCAGGAGATGCTCATGTGGCATGAAACTCTGCACCGCAATATCCTCCAGCTGCACCTGCAACCCTGGGAGTAACATTACTTTTGGGGGCAGCCACGCTGGTTGTACCTCACCCCCATCTCTGGTGAGAAAGCAGGCAGAGAGCTTAGGAACCTAGTTACAGGCTCTGCAGCACTGCTAAGGTTCATACCAACCTCACAGCCGTGTTCTGTTTTTAATCCTTGGATCCCTTTCACAAATCCGGGGTAGGCACTCGTCCCCAAGTGTGTGTGTGGGGATACCTGTGCACACAAGTCAAGTGATAAGCAGAGCCATGCAGCCTGGATACAGCAGCTATGCACCAAGCCACATGGGAAACCCCTGATGGCTCTGAAACAAGGATTTGGGGCTGACTGGGGTCCCCTAGGCTGGAACCTTCCTAGGCCCTGGGTGTGCATGGTGGGGCAGTCCTCTTAAGGGAGCTGTGTGTTTATCTGTGAGATTAAGTGATACAGACAAGATCACCAATTCCAGAATGAAAAAATCTAGGAAAGGAAATTTTGGCTGGCTTAGGGTTTCAGGAATGAGAGGGAAAAACAAAAAGCTGATCACTTTATAATCAAAGGAGAAAAGTTCTTAAACAATAGACATACCAGCCAGAGACTAAAGCAGCCTGGGGCCAAGCCAAGGGGTAGGCAAATGTTATTTTGGGGGAGAAACAGAAGATGGGGAAGTGGCCACAGGAAGGGGTTGTCATACCTTTTCCCCTTCAAATTCTTTTCCACATGGAAGCTTCCTTCCCCCACATTTCTAATCTGAGGGTGGAGTGAAGGAGATGCTCACAGCAGGATCTGTCTGGTCCCCTGCCCTGGTGGTGTCACGGGGTCCTCACAGAGGCCTGAGCTTGCTTCCAAGTGTCTGTGAGGCAGGTAGGTGTAATTGGAGACAGTAACGTGCCTCCATGTGACCCTAGTTCTGCCACCCAAATCTAGCAGGTGACCCCAGAGGTGGGAGGGGCGTCATCTGGCTTTGCTTAGGGGGAGATGACAGTTTCTACACAGACAGCAGATGGCTGACTTCCTACCAGCACCTGCCCTGCCTCCCACTTGGGCTGGGGGGCCATAATCAGAGGAGTGGCCAGACCTTCCAGCTCATCCAGATTCCAAGAAAGGACTTGTGCGAGGGGCTGGTTTGGCTGCAAAGGACCAAATCAGAAACCACTTCCAGGCTAGTTTGTGCAAATGGTTTTTTTTTTTTTTATTATTATTTCCACATTTATATCACAAGGTGTCCACTTACTGGACCAAATAGCAAAGTTGCCCCTTCTGCGTCCTGGGGACCCAGAAGTCTAGGTACTGTACATTCACTAAGGCTCCTTGTTTTTGCAATTCGCGTTTCTGACAGATAACCATAAGGCAAACGACTAAAGGAATGGTCACGAGTGTTTCCAGCCCAGACAGGCCCCGCCTCTGCCCAGCATAACACACACCCCAGTAGCACCCTCGGTGACTTCTGTGGGGCTTTTTGGGTGGGGCACTCTAGAAAGATGAGAGTTTCTAGATATGAGCAGGAAGAGAGAAAGGATGAGAAGAGAGAAAGTTTGGCTGGTGGTCAGGTGGAACGGGAGAAAACAAACACTTGAAAAATTAAATTTTTTTGCAGCATTTCCTTAGAAACAAGATTGTAACTGAAACCAGATAAAAAATGTGTGGCTGCCCGGGGAACGTGGGCTTGAACCTGGTGGCCAGTAGGCCGGGAACAAGGCTCAGTAGCGACTGGGCTGGGCTGAGCATGTAGCAACAAAGGCCACGCTCATGCCCACCCTCCCAGACACCGCAGGGCCAAATGACAACACAAACAAATGCAAATAAATAAGACGCGTGCTCTCGGTTCTGTTAAAGGTAACATCTTCCACAAGTGTTCTGTGCCTGCCTGCAGCTGCGCCCAGCCCACGCGGCCAGGGTTGTCTGCACCATCTAGGGGCGGGACCCACACTCCATCTAGCTGGCTGCTGGAGCGCTCGGAACTCGCTTTGCCGTCCTTCCCGCAGTCCTTCCTATGCAAGTTTGTTAGTAAACTGGTAGCAGCATTTCACAAAAGGAGGAGAATTGTGAGGGCAGAGCATGGGGGCGCCTGCCCCAGCCCAGGCACCTCCCCTGGGCCTCCACACCCACCCCACCGCCCACTAGGCAGTCAGTCCAAGCAGACGTAAGGCAGAATGTTCAGGCGCCCATCGTCACCATGTGGGTCGAGTGCTATGCACTGCGTCCAATCATACCAGGTACCCTGTGTGTCGTAACACCCGTTCACGCCTGGCCACTGATGGGCCTGGATGCGCTCCAGGTCATCCTGCGTGACCTCACGCGTGCACCCTGGCAGGTCCGCAGGTGGGCTGTGAGGTGCCAGTACGTGCGTCTCGCGGGCTCCGTGCCGCTTGGCACTCTCCTCCTGCCGCAGGTACTCCGACATGAAGTGGTGCGCGCCTGGCGTCTGTGCACCCGACGACGAAAGCAGGCTGCTCTGCCGGCTCAGGTAGGACTGGATCATCTCATTGCGTGACAGCTCCTTCCAGTTCGTTTGCTCGAAGGGGCTCTGCAGGCCACCCTTGGGCTCCTGTGCATCCAACTCTGTCCGAGGTGGCTCGGTGCTCATGGGGCTCTCAGCCTGCACAGGTTCCTTCTGAGTCAGGGGTTTGATCTGTCTTGTCATGGGGTCAAAGGTGAGCTTGCGCTCTTTTAACCGCACAGGCTTGACCCCCGCCTCAGCCCCCTGCCCATCTAAGTTCACTGTGTAATCACGTGGACGATACCGCTTCTTCTTCCTGCTCTCTGAGCCACCCGAGGAGGCAGCATCACTGTCCGCCCTGGAAGAGTCCGGGGATCGGCCTGCCCGCGGTAACAGCAGCAGTGGCTCAGCTGACGGCACCCCTGCCTTGCAACCAGGCCCGGCCAGCCTCTGGTGGCCCTCAGCCTGGTCAGGCCAGCGCCCTGTGCTCTCTGCACTAGGCAGCAGCTCCAGCCGCCGGACGGGGGGTGTGGGGGGCTGGGCCAGTGGGAGCGGTGAAGGCGCCTGTGTGGCCTCCAGCGATGGGGGCCGTGGTGAGGTGCTGGGCGCTGAGCCCTTGGGCACATATGGGCTCCGCTGCCTGGAAAAGGGGCCCTCGTGCCGTGAGTTCCGAGGGCTAAAGGAACAGCGAGGAGGGCCCCTAGGGTGGGGAGGCCCTGGGGTCTCATCCACCCTGTCCAGTGGCTGCAGTGAGGCGGCCTTGGCTCCCAGGCCCGGCGAGCTGGTGTGCGGTCTCACAGCGTTGACTGGGATCCAGGTGCTGTGCTTATCATTCTCACTAGGCTCCAGGCGGCTGCCCTCAGGACCCACATGCCCACTGCCATCCAGGGGACCAGTGAAGCTCTCCGGGCTCCCACTGATCCCATTGGTAGGCAGGGGGGATGAGTTGGGGGCCAGGGGCTCATGGCTGGCCTTGGCGGCCTTGGGCGGTGGTCCAGGGTGGCCAAGGTCACGCTGGTCCCCCCGGCGCTTGCGGCTGCCTGGCCTGTCCACCCGCTGCCCAGGCAGCCTCTGGATGTCATTGCGGCTCTTCAGGTCATGGATGCTCCGAGGCCCAGGGGCTGCCCCGGCCTCTGGTCGGCAGTTGTGAGCACCCCCATTGGCAGAGCCAGCAGCACCAGGCAGTCCCCGCAGCGCCGGCTCGCCCTGGTGCACAGGCTCGATGAGCTTCTGCCAGCTCCGCAGCAGCTTCTTGGCCCGCTTGGCGAGCTCCTCGTTCTTGGTCTTCTTGCGGACGTCGTTGATGAGCTTCCCCAGCCGTGTCTCCTGCAACAGAGTGGGTAGTGAGGGGTGGGGCAGGGCGCCTGGCCTTGGAGAGACTTCTCCATCATAAGAGCATTGTGATAGCTCCACCTCCAACCCCACTACCTGGGGCCCACAGGATAGTGAAGCCTCAGCTGCCCAAAGACCTTGGCCTCCAGCTGAGGGCTCCACCAAGCAGAGGACCACCCTGCCTGTCCCTGAGTTAAGATCACCTAGTCCCTGCAATGCCTTATTGGACAACTAGGTCTCAAAGCTTGCTGGCAACATGAGGTCCCTGAGGGGATTTCACCTCGCTCAGTCCTCATAAGGCCAGTTAGGTACATTCTACAATCCTCCTAGCTCATGGGGAGAGAGGCCTGGGGGCTCAGGGAGGCAATGGATGGGAGTCTGAGCTGTACCACAGTGGCCCCTGCTCCAGCAGCACCCACCTCCAGTGCCTCTTTGGTGATGGGGTATTTCTCCAGACTGGAGATGACTTCCAGCACCGCCACCATGTTCCGGATCTGCAAGACAAAAGCCACCATCAGTGCCTGCCCTGCTCTGCAAAGCCCCCATCTGGCCCTGAGGGCCAACATGGCCCCTCAATGCACCTCCTCTCTCAGCTTCTACCTGGCGCTTGGTTTACGAGGACCCAGACAGGCCCCTGCCATCTGATTTGGAGCAGGGGAACTAACGGATTTATCACGTAAAAAGGACAAACCCTAAAGGAAATGATCGATATGCAATAAACTGATCACTGTGATTACAGTGAAATCCAGACCTTCCAAAGAGACTGAGAGCGTGCAGAGTCAAGGCACAGAGTATGCAACGCAGGAAAAAGTAGGCAAGTTATATGAACCTCCCAGACAGGCAAATCTGCAGACAGATGTCAAGTCGGGCTACAAGGGGGAAGGTGGAGGGACAGGGTCTCTCAGGGTGACAAAGTAATTGAGAACCAGATTGTGGTGATGGTGGTACAACACTATGAAAGGACTAAAAACTACTGAGAGGTCTGGTAGCATAGTGCCTAAGGCAGCTGACTGCTAACCAGAAGGCTGGCGGTTCAAACCCACCAGCCGTTCCTCGGAAGATTGGGCAATCTACTTCTGTAGTGATACCACCTCAGAAACTCAAGGAGGGGTCGCTATAAGTCGGGTCTGACTCAATGGCAAATAACAGCAACAAAAACTACTGAATTGTATTCTTACGTGGCTAAAATGGTGAATTTTATCTCAAAACATTTTTTTTCATTTTAATTAGTATTTTCAGTAAAAATATACATAGCAAAACCCACTCTCACTCCACAGCTTCTAGACATAATAATCAGTGACAACTGGTTACATTTTTCACACTGTTGTCAATATTCTTGTTATTTCTGTTCTAGTGTTTTACTTCCATTAACTTGTCTCAAAACATTATTTAAAGCAGGATCAAAACATTTCAATACCAATGATTGGAGGCTCAGTCTCCCTAGTCATCAGGAAAATGCAAATTAAGACCACAAGCCAATACACAGCAGTATGGCAGAAGTGATGTCTGGGACACCTGATGGCGAGGGTGCAGCCAACCCCAAGAACCAGCATGGCTTCACCTGGAGAAGCGGAGCAAGCACAGACCCCAGGACCCAGGGAGTCCACCTCTGTCCCATGCTTGCTATGAACAGGCCTTGCTTCTAGGCACCTGACACAAGCTAATTCCTTCAGTTATGACAGCCACTCTGGGGCAGGGACTATGATCATCATCATCCCATTTTGAAGATAAAGACACGGGTCTAAAAAGGCCATCTCCTCCAGAGGCTCTGTTCAAGTCCAGAACCTCACCCTCAAGGAGAACGGCCCCTGTCACCCAGGAGACATTGAAGGAGAAAACCCACAGCAACACAACCACAATGGCCACATGGGATCAAGGTCACAGTACAGGTCACTGAAAGCTGAATGATTCAACTGAGATTGATTCCAGAGGAATGTCACAGCAGTGGGAATGAACGAGCCACAGCTGCATCAATAAGGATGAACTGCAAACAATGCTGAGTGAAAAGTCACAAAACTACATACTGTGATTCCATTTACCTCAAACACCAAACATTAAGAAGTGAACGCACACTGAAAAGTAAAAGTTAAAACTCTAAAGCTTCTTAAAAGCAATACAGAAGAACATCTTTGCAGCTTTGGGGTACACAAAGACTTCTCAGGAGCCCCAAAGCACTAACCATTGGGGTGGGGTGGGGGGAGTGACACAATGCACTTCATCAAAATTAAGAAGCTCTGCTTAGGAAAAGCCACTGTTAGTGAGCAAGCAAGACAAAGCCTGGGGGCGAAAATTTTGACAAAACAATACCCAGTGAAAAACATGGTCCACAATACATAAAGAGCGCCCATAGCTCAACAATAACTCCTAGCAGCTGCAGGCTTCCAGGGGCTCATGGCAGGGCCAGGATGGCTTGTGTGTGTATGTGGGGGGTGGGGGAGTATGGATGCAGGAGGTCCCTGTGATTCACAGTGAGCACAATACATCCCTACACACACATGCACTTGAATTTGTTTTTAGCTACAGTCAAGTCGTGCAGGCGCACAAGCCAAATTAAAGTGGCATCAAAGTGCACACAGTGAATACTCTCCCCATAACCTCTACAGCATCTCCTTGTATGTTTCCAGAAGCATTCCTTGCATATACCAGTGTGCGTATACATGTGGCCCAGCCCTTAGTCCCAGGGACACCTGGGCTCAGTTCCCCAGTGGCTACTGAAGAGGCTGCAACGATGGCCCTCCTTGGACATGACTTGGGCTAACCGAGCATAAGCAGACATAAACACAGCCCAACAGGGTTGCTAGCAGTCAGTGCCCAGAGAGAGGCTAATCAGGCACACTGTCCTGGGGACACAGAAGGCCTGTCCCCATGTCCTCACAGAACTGAATGCTGTGGGTTTCCAGTCACTGCCAGAACAAACTGTCGTACACTTGCCACTTAAACAACATGTGTTCATTCTCTTAGCTGGGCAGGTAGGAAGTAGGAGAGCGTCTCATAGGCTGGGGGCAGGTGTCATGGGTGGAGCTGGGCCTGCAGGGTCTGGGGGAGGGTCCATCTGAGTCCCTGATCCATCAGATGGTGCAGGGCTTGTACACCTGTGGCTATAGGTCTGAGGTCCCCATTTCCTCGCTGTCACCTGAAGGCCATGCTGAACTTCTAGAGGTGACCCTATTCCTCAGCCCGGTGTGTCCTCTATCTTCAATCCAGCCAAGGTCTCACTTGGTCTCTTTGACCTGCCAGGATGATCCTAGCTTCTCTATCTCAACCATCCCCACAGCCTCCTCCCAGGGGAGGGGCCCTCATGCCCGGCTCTGGGGACCATGGGAGGTGCCTTAGGGAGTTAGTCTGCCAACTGTGTGTGTCTGTCCCCTCCAGAGGTATGTAAAAGTAACCACAGCAACTGAAAGGCCACCCTACAGCTTGCCAAGCTGTCCCTCCACCCACAGGGCCCCCAGGATGTGCTGCTGAATGAAAGACTTCCCCTCAGTGTTCCTCCTGGGGACATGTCTGTAAGCACATCTAAGAGGGATCAGCAGGAGGTGATCTGAGGTGAGATGTCTCGATAGGCATCAAGCAGGCAGGTCCTGGGGCAGCAAGACCAGCCCCTTTCCCCAGGTCTGCCACTGACGGGTCCCGCCCTGGTGACGCCACATTGGTATATTTAGAGCCAGGTCCCACAGGGCTATCACTGCACAGGCGCAGCCAGCCAGTGGCACAGAGTGTCCTTGTCTTTGAGCAGATGTCCTGCTGCTGCCAGACGGGCATGGAGGCAGAACACCTGGGAGCCAGAGGGGCGAAGGTCAGGTGACCAGCAGTGGGACTGGGCGGCTGCCACATGCTCTTGTGCCCTCCCTCTCAGGCAGAACAGAGGCCTTCAGCTCTTAGGAGGCCCATGGGGTGTCAGCCCTGAGGACTGAGGGCCCTGGCTGCCCAGAAGTCTAGAACCAGCTGGGCTGATCCCAGCGCACAGGCCAGCAGGGCCTGGGACAAGTGAGGTGAGGTATTCTGTCCTGTGCTAGCCTACTGAATGGCCTTGTGCCTGCACAATGGTGAGACATGGAGTGTGAGAATACTGGCCAGGCAGCCCCAACATGTGCAGTTGCCCTCCAGGACCAAAGCAGACCCCTCAAGTACAATGGGAGGCTCGACAAGGGTCTGGCCTGAACCTTCCCCCCCACTCAGTGCCTTCCACGGCACTTCCACTGGCCTGCAGTCCCTATGGGGCCTGCTGGGATGGGGGTTCCCAGTAATGAATGTCTGCCCAGTGGAGGAGCCTCCCCTAGAGGCAATGGCAGCACCGAGTAGAGCTGGGCCTCAGGAGCAAGATGGGAGTGGGCCCTTGCCTCTTCTACTATCCTTATGGGGTGGCCTTGGAGGTGCAGGAGGCACTGTGGGGAGGGCCCCAGGGCCCCACCCAGGCCTCTCAGGGCAGGGTAACTGTCAGGCTGAGGGCAGAACAGAGAGGTTGTGAAGGGAACAGGGCAGGAAGCTTCAGCTGAAAAGGAGGACAGAACATGGGTCTAGGCCCCTGAGGGATGGAGGAGGGGAACAACTGACCCACCAAATGGGGAAGTGGGCAAGACTGGGGAACAAGGGTAAGGAGCTGTACCTCGTCTGCCCTGAACCTAACTGTGGTCTCTACCTGCTCCCATCCCTCCAGCCTGGGTCTGTATGATGGCTTGGCCCTTGGGGGAGCTCCAGTGGGTCTGCTGCCTCAACCCAGAACCCATCCCCCCGATTTCTCCCCTGGGACACAACTGAGTCAAAGAAACCTCTGGAAACCACCCGCCAAACCATGTTTCTAAAGGAGCAGGTATTACACCAGCCAGGTCTAAGCCTGCAGCCAGACCCCATAGACAGACGGGCATCCATGTATCCTTAACAACTGATGACAGGGCCACCTGCCCTCCCCAACCCTGACTTCTCTCTGTGATCTGCCTGCTTATGTCCATCCATTCTGCTCTGTTGGAAGGGCAGAAACAGGACTCGGGGAAGGGGTGACAGCTGCTCCAGCAATGTCCACCCCAGGCGGCCCTAGCCCCTGCCAAGTCCAGGATCCTGACCCCAAAGAGCCGCTCCCTCTGAAATCTCAGGCCCAGGAGGCCTCTCACACTCAGGAACCGCCCAGAGCAAGGCAGGTGATACATCACCAAAACAAACTCCACCTGAGCGAGCCTACAACCATCCCTCACCCTGGGTCCCAAAGCTTTCCTCCTTAAGTCAGATCCAGGTCATCCGTCCAGAGCCTGGCCCCAGGGCTGGGACAGACCCTAACACTGAGAGCAGGTCCCCTGATTTCCAGTACCATATTAGGAAAACACCCACATGGTGGAGGGATTTCTGGGTCAGTCTGAAACAGGAACCGAGAGAGAAGGCTCTGGCATCTGTGTGGACGTGCACTCACCACCCCTCCACACCCCAAAGCCCCCTCCCCCTGCAGAAACCGCCACCTCTGCAAACTGACAGCAGGTGTGCAGATGCCCTGGGAAGGCGGACC